AAAGTGGTGATAAAGTACCCGGGTATACCCGTTTCTGGTTATTGGTCACTGCAGAAAGGCTTGAAGCAAGTGCTCACTTGGGAAAATAAAAGCCTTCCCAAACCGAACGGAGGGNTGTCGCCCGCATGCTCCGGTGCCGCTGCTCCGTCCGGCGCCGCTGTAGTCAGCCCGAGCATAACGCCACTCGACCTGCTCCGTCCGTACACGCTCTCGTTGCTGTCCTTCCCAGTCGGTTCCTCGCTTTCTCCCTCGTTGCACTCAAGGTTCTTGGTCTGAAAAATAAAAATTCTCGCGCCGAAGGGGTCAACCAGCCCAGTTCAGCTCGTCGCCACCTACTCCCTCCTCCTTTGATGGCGAAGCCAGGTTACTGAGGCAATGCAGCGCCCTCTAGCCAACCTATGTGTGTATAATTGAGCTAAATGTGAGAAACAATAACAACAACAACAACGTCACAGGGGGATGAGAAATAATGAAACGCAATCGTTGCCTACATGAAGACAACTCGGATTATTTCAACGGTTCAACCATTCGCCTATTCTCAATTTGTCTATTCATCGTTGGCACCCAGTCTGTCGATGGTTGATTTATGTACTTACGTGCAGTGCGTTGCTCTCTACTCCCCACCTTCCCGTCCCCGCTTTTGCCGCCGAAACCAACTACTGTGCACCGTAGACCCAGACCCACGCACGCACGCACCGGTACGCCTTTCACGCAGAGCGTCGATTCATTTTAACTGGCGACGGGGGGACATTCACATCGCACCACGTGCAGTGACTCGCCACCTACACACGAGATCAACCGACATGTTCCTGTCACCCCAGTCCCCCGAGTCATCCCACCGCCTCAGCACTGTTCAAGAAAATGCATCAGACGAGCTCGATGGTCAGTGACTCAAACTGAAAGTCTCCCCCTCTACAAATGTGGGTCTCTTGTTGGCCTCTCGCTTGTCGGTAATAGTGTAAGCTTGATTTCGGCATCACCACTGCTGTAGACTACAGCACCTTGTTGGCTACGCGTCGCTTGTGAAACTTCTCTTCTGTATGCGCTTTCCTGCATATCCTTTTCGGGTTGTTATGCACAGGAGGGTCATTTTCAACGTAGCTCGGGTGCTATCTCCGTCGTGCTTCTGCAGTTGTTTAGCGGTGGTGCGGTGGCTGTTGTACGAACGATTAGCATGTGTTGAGCAGAGGCCGGACGGAGCGGTTCCACGTCAATACAACAACAACAACAACAGCGCGTTGTTGCCACTTGCACGTCATTTCATCGCGGAGATGCCCTCTCTTTGCAGCGCTAGCTATGCATATCTTGCATCGATGTCGATGGTGTCGTGGGAAAGCTCACCCTGGCACCAGGATATTTACAGTAGTGGACCACACGGAGAACTGCGGCAGGGGCACATGTCAGCTCAATCGATGGCATCCGCATGTATGTCCGCCTACTAGCTAGGTCCTACACCTGTTTCGTTGAGGACTATTTTACGGAAAGTGCGAATGCGCCCCCGTCCGATTCTGGGCACGACGAATGCGTACTGCTGTACGTGCTTTGAAGCTAGACCGAATGTACAAGAAGGCGATGGTGGTGATCCACCTCGTGGAACGCCCCCCCCCCTCATACTCACGGCTAGAACAACCTGCCTGCGTTTTACTTTTGGCAGTTGTTGTCTCGCTCGGGATGCAGGTGGAAAACTTTGGGCAACCACGTTCGGCCGATGTTTTTCGGGGCTCCGGCCGCCGACAAGCCTCGCACGCAGCTCTCTACACAACGGTTTTCCGCTGCTCCGCCGCTCCGCTGCCAGAATTTCGTTCTACAGCCGCGGTTTCTTCATTAGTCTATCAATTTCACGTAGGCAAGCAGAGACAACATCGGTTCGAGTGGATCGTGCAGGCAGCAAACCCATTTGAGGCATCTCGCCCCTCCCGCCCTCACCTTGTTCGTTTCCCAGCATCGCACGGATATGAGCTATATCCGGTGGCACCGTGGCACGGCAATGGTCTCGGTACTCTGGGCGATATGAAGGCGCCCAAAGAGCTGCCAAACCCCGTTCAAAAAGGCACGATGATGGCGGCGGTGGCGGCGGCTTCTGCTATGGTGGTCGAACTCAACGGCACCACGCCCGCCGCCCACGCCAGCGGCAGCACCACAACCCCTGCCACCGTTGACAGGGCCGGGTGGGGGAGAGGTGCCGTGGCGGGCAGGGCGAGGCTGGAAGAAATCAGGCAGATAGGCGCGCTGTACGCACCATCTCCAATGGACGAGTCACAGCCAGCGGCAGGGGCGGAGGCGTCGGAGCGACGACGAAGTAACACCTGCGACACAGGTAGCGCCACCGCCACTGCCCCGCCTCCCGCTAGCGCTTGCCGGCGGCCGTGGTGGAGAATGCTGCGAAGGAGCGTCACCGGTCACAGCCCGAAGGAGCACCCACGCCCTAGAGCAGGCGTGTTCATCTCAGGCTCTCTCTCCACCGTCGCCAGGGGGAGCTCCCGGGTGAGTTGGACCCCTACCCCCCCGCCTCCCGTCGCCCTTCCTCGTACACGCGGAAGCCCGCCAGAACACAAGAATCCCGTTCTTTTGGAGCGTGGGGGTGCCAGCGCGGTTGACCTGTGCAGCTGTATTTGGGTCAACGTGGAAGCACTACTGTACGTGGGAAAACACCGGCAGCGTACGACAAACATCAACCCTACAATCCTATCAGCGTGCAGCGGTGTAACCCCTGCGCCCGGTCGTTCAATGGTCCTCTCGGATAACAGTAGCGATAGCTGCCGCCCTCCATGCCCCCGCACACCCCCCACCTTCCAGGAGGCTGCAGCTGACCAACCTCAACATTAAATACTGAAAAAAAATGGTCATCTACCTCATGACCGCACATATTGTTGTTGCATATATTGCGGGCAACCAGCATGGCGATCGACTCGTGTCGTTTTCGTAGTGCGGGGAGGGTGGCAGTACTACCTCAGCGAGGAATGATTGTTACGTATCGGTGATGTTTGTAGTCAGGGCCCCTCGAGGACACTTCAGCTTAGCATGGATCAATAGAGATGGAAGTATCTGAAAGCATGAGCAACCATTTCGAAATACTGAAGTTGTCTTCCGAGTTCCAAGAAATACGGGCCTGGTGTCGATTCCCCCCTCTTAGCGTAAGTAGTCGTCCTTTGCAAGCCGCCGCCTCTCTGCAGTTCAACCCTCCGAAATGCCTTAGCCGCTTCGTGGGTTGTTTAGTATTCAGCATTTGGCAACAACGACGACATTGTTTGGACAGGGTTTCCCAAGAGGTAAACGAGTTTTCGCGTGTGTACGAACCGTGTGCGCTCGCCGTTCAAAATCGGGACTGCATCAGGAGCTGCACAGCCACGATGTTGTACAACTGCGGTTGTTTGCATCGGTTGAGAAGAACTACAAATGCTACAGCAACAGCAGCTGCGTACGCGCGGCAAATGCCATATGCTTGCCATGGCATGGGGCTGAGATCGCTCTTCAGTTGGTTCCTGAGGCGACCCGTCACCTGAATTTCCGTCCCCTTTACAAACGCGTAAAATGGCGCCGCCTGCCGAGTAGGGCGCGTCCACCACGTCGAACAGGTTGGACCACATCATCCCCACGGGGAAGTCGCCGCGCCACAAGATGTCCGAAGAGGAGAGGCGAAGCTTGGGCGTATTCCCGGCTGGCTTTCCTCTCGATAGAAGATGATTGTTACGATAATATTCTGGTTTGCACTCTGATCACCACGTGATGGAACGACTTGCCACCGGCAGGTGACTCGGTTAAGAACTAGTCTAGAATCTCCAGCACCCGTGTCGACCGACTCAATCCCATTCATGGCGCGGTCGTTCGATATGAGCTATATTTCGCGGGCCGTATTGAATTGGACAATATTTGAGTGTCCTTTTTTCTTCTGTGTTTCTCCGGGATGTATCTTTTTTTTGTTTTACTCTCGTCCACTGCTGTACTAATTGTTTCGAGCGATAGCATCCGATCTTGTGTGTTTTCCTTCAGACCAGCGCACTCGCTTCACACGTGGTATGGTCTACATAGTATTTCCACCCCGTCCACCTCACGTAGACGTTTGCGGCACTGGGTGAACCTCAGAGACTGGCCCTGCCTCTGCATCCCAACCGCGAAGCAGACTGGGGGGTTGCCCTTCGTATCTCCCATTCGTGTAGAAAGGAATAAGCGATGTCCTCGAGAGCCGGAGAGGAGGAAGAAATGGGCCGGGGGTGCCACAGAACGAAAGTGTTGTACGGGGTGGTGTTAGGAGAGTGGACAGCAAAAAAAATCATGCTTGGTCGCACCACGAAAGGATGGTCGCCATGTTCAAGAGAATACAACGCCCCCTGACCCCGCGTCCATCCCCTGGTGCTCATTTCGGGCGCTGCTGCGCACACGTACGTACGTTTCCCGATATCCCCGATTCAGGCGGGCAACTGAGTTGGCCCTCATCAAGAAGGGCGACAGGTACGTGGTGATGTGATGGGTCGTGTTCTTTTCGTCGATTTGGTCTGGGAAGTACTGCAGAAAGCGTTTTACCCAACCCATTGTGTCCCGCGTAAGATGAGGTGTTGGCCATCGTCGAAAATATGGATCTGACAACGAAGCTCTTGACCAGTCGAGACGGCGTCTGTGGGTTTATGACATTCATTCAACCCCGCCATAGAGTACGTCTCGGATTTCGAGCATGTATGTGGTGTAGGCAACAGCGTAATATATATGTGTTGCTATGTCTGGTACGTTGCCCAACTCTCTTTTGCACCAATCATTGTCACAACCACACGTAGGTTTGTACCAAGAGAAGCCAACATCATTTTCACTATGTTGAAACTTGAAATTGGTTCGTGCTCTGTGCATGTTGACCGTGTATCTCAGGCTTATCATCAACCCTCACGTCGGAGAGTTTTGGTTCGTGATCGACGCAAAGTGGATCAACTCCTGGGTGAAGTTTGTCATGGGACAGGCGAGCGCGCCGGGGGCTATCAGCAACCTCAACCTCTACCCACAGGACTGCGACGGCGACCAGTCCACCTCCGCAAAATGTGAGGACTACTATACAGTAATCCAATCCAACCGTGGAAAAAATCAGTCCCAGTAGTCTTCGCAGTGTTTTCAAAGTACGAAAAACATAGAATCGGCTCACTAACTTGGGGGTTAGGGTTAGGGTTGGTTATGGTTAGGGTCTTCGTGCCCTCTGCCTGGTCTTTTTTCGAAATATACTACGAAAGTGTCGTGTGCACGTTTTGTGGGGGATTCATTGAAGACAATTGAAACAATAATAATTGAAACAAGGGAAGTGGATGTTTTGCTCTTGGCTCTCCGGCACATGTTCCCTGCGATACCTCGACCTCACCTATCTGTAGATAGCGACAGAGTCCCTCCGTTGGCGGTTAGAG